CTTGAAACACACCATGTCTGCAAATGAACATATTTTTCTTTCTAAATGTACTCCTGGTTTCTATTAATGACATCATCATATTAAGAGGCCCATAGGCTTAAAAATTTCAGCATCATTTGACTCCTTTCTTTCTCTCAACCTCTCCATTTCTAAGTAGTCACCAAGTCGTAAGTATTTTACACTTGTCTTCTTCACTCCAGACTCTTATGAAAACCTTAGTATAAATATATCTTACCTTTATTAGTCTCTTACAATTGCATCTTAACTGGTCTCTCAGCTCAACAATACATCTTAACTAATTCTTCCCAGAAAACAAAACAAAACAAAACAAAACAAAAAACATCAATTCCAACACACAGCTACCCTACTGTTGTTGTCAGGTGCCTTCTAGTCATCTCCAACTCATAGCAACCCTGTGTACAACAGACCGAAATACTGCCCAGTCCTGTGCCAGCCTCACAATCCTTGCTATACTTGAGCCCATCATTGCAGCCACTGTGTCAATCCATCTCATTGAGGGCCTTCCCCTTTTTCGTTGACCCTCCACTTTACCAAACACGATATCCTTTTCCAGGGAATAGTCCCTTCTGACAACATGACCAAAGCAGGTCGGATGAAGTCTAGCCATTCTCGCTTTCAAGGAGCATTCCGGGTGCACTTTTTCCAAGACAGATTTGTTACTTCTTTTGGCAGTCCGTGGTACTTTCAGTATTCTTCACCAACACCACAATTCAAAAGCATCAACTCTTTTTCAGTCTTCCTTATTCACTGTCCAGCTCTCACATGCATAAGAGATTATTGAAAATACCACGGCCTGGGTTAGGTGCACCTTAGTCCTCAAAGAGACATATGTGCTATTCAGCCCTTTAAAGAGGTCTTTTGCAGCAGATTTCCCCAGCGTGATACGTCATCAGATGTCTTAACTGCTGCTTCCATTGGTGCTGATTTTGGTACCAAGTAATATGAAATCTTTGACAACTTCAATCTTTTCTCCATTTATTGTGATGCTGCTGATTGGTCCAGTTGTGAGGATTTTCATTTTCTTTATGTTGAGATGTAATCCATACTGCAGACTGCAGTCTTTAATCTTCATTGGTAAATGCTTCATGTCAACCTTACTTTCAGTAAGCAAAGTTGTGTCATCTGTGTATCACAGGTTGTTAATGAGTCTTCCTCCAATCCTGATGCCACATTCTACTTCATATAGTCCACCTTCTTGGACTATTTGATCAGCATACAGATTGAACAAGTATGGTGAAAGGATACATCCTGATGCACTCCCTTCTGATTTTAAACCATGTAGTATCCCCTTGTTCTGTTCGAATGACAGCCTCTTGGTCTATGTACAGGTTCCTCATGAACACAATTAAGTATTCTGGAATTCCCATTCTTCAAAATGTTATCCATAATTTGTTATGATACAAACAATTGAAAGCTTTCGCACAGTCAATAAAACACAAGTGAACATCTTTCTGGTATTCTTTGCTTTCAGCCAAGATCCATCTGACATCAGCAATGATATCCCTTGTTCCACATCCTCTTCTGAATCCAGATTGCATTTCTGGAAGTTCTTTGCCAATATACTGCTGCAACCATTTTTTAATTGTCTTCTGCAAGATTTTACTTGTATGCAATATTAATGATATTGTTCAGTAATTTCCACATTCTGTGGGATCACCTTTCTTTGGAATGGATACACATATGGATCTTTTCCAATCAGTTGGCCAGGGAGTTGTCTTCCAAATGTCTTGGCATAGCCAAGTGAGTTCCTCCAGGGCAGCATCCTTTTGTTGAAACACCTCAATGGGTATTCTGTCAATTCCTGGAGCCTTGTTCTTTGCCAATTCCTTCAGTGCAGTTTCAACTTCTTGCTTCAATACCATTGGTTCTTGATCATCTGGCACTTCCTGAAATGGATGAACACTGACCAATTGTTTTTCATAGAGTGACTCTGTGTATTCTTTCTATCTTCTTTGAATGTTTCCTGCATCATTCAATATTTTGCCCATAGAATCTTTCAGTATTGCAACTCAAAGCTTTAATTTTTTTCTTCAATTCTTTCAGCTTGAGAAATGTCATGCATATTCTTTCCTTTTGGTTTTCTAACTCCAGGTCTTTGCACATTTCATTATAGTAATTGGCTTTGTCTTCTTGAGCTGCTCTTTGAAAGCTTCTGTCCAGCTCTTTTATCTTGTCATTTCTTCCACTTATTTTAGCCACTCTCCATTCAAGGCCAAGTTTCAGAATCTCTTCTGACATCCATTTTGGTCTTTTCTTCCTTTCCTGTCTTTTTAATGACCTTTTGCTTTCTTCATGGATGATGTTCTTGATGTCATCCCACAATTCCTCTGGTTTTCAGTCACTGGTGTTCAATGCATGAAATCTGTTCTTTAGATGGTCTCTGTTTGGATTACCTAGTGCCACTCTGAGAGGAATATACCACAAATGGTTTGGCTTTAACAAACAGGAATTTATTCTTACAATTTTTGGAGGCTAGAAGTCTGAGTTCAAAGTGCCAGGCTCTTGGGGCTGAGTGAAAGCCCCTCAACCTTCGACTTCAGCTCTGCCTCTTGCTCCCAGCCCAATGAAGCTAGAGGCTTTTTTTCACTCAGGCAGCAGCTGGCTACTGAGGCTGACAAACCCAAGGTTGACAAGTGAAAAGGCACAGTTCTGATCTCACCAAACAACATGGGTTAATTACCAATCTCACCATGGGGAATAACTACATCCAGCTGCCCAGCCACTCAACCAGGCCCAGCCAAGTTGACACACACACTTAACTACCATAGTCTCTAAATTCAGGAGGGATATCATCAAGGTCATAGTTTGGCTCTTGTGGACTTGTTTTAATTGTTTTCAACTTAAACTTAAACTTGCATATGAGCAATTGATGGTCTGTTCCACAGTCAGCTCCTGCCCTTGCATTGGCTGAAGATATTGAGCTTCCCCATTGCCTCTTGCCATAGATGTAGTCTATCTGATTCTTGTGTACTCACTCCATCTGGTGAAGTCCATGTGTATAGCCTCCATTTGGATTGTTGAAAAAAGGTATTTGCAATGAATAAGCCATTGGTCTTGCAAAATTCCATCATGCTATCTCCTGTGTTATTTCTATCACCAAGGCCATATTTTCCAACTACCGGTGATTCTTCTTTGTTTCCAACTTTTACATTCCAATCACCAGTGATAATCAACATTTCTTGATGGGCTGTTTGGTCAATTTCAGACTTCAGAAGTTGGTAAAAAATCTTCAATTTGCTCAGCTTTGGCTTTGGCAGTTGGTGCATAAATCTGAATAACAGTAGTATTAACTGGTCTTCCTTATGTTGTTGTTGCTGCTATGTGCCCTCGAGTCGGACCCGACTCATAGTGACCCCTCCCTGGGTTTCTGAGGCAGTATCACTACGGAAGTAGATTGCCCCATCTTCCTTCCGAGGAGTTGCTGGTGGGTTTGAACCACCAGCCCTCTGGTTAGCAGTCCAGTGCCTTAGGTACTATGCTACCAGAGCTCCCAGTCTTCCTTATAGGCGATGGATTTTATCCTATCACTGACAGCATTGTACTTCAGGATAGATCTTGAAATATTCTTTTGCAAATGTCTCTGAAGGAGGAAGGGGCCATCCACTTCTCAAAGAATTGGCCATTAAAAACTTTATGAATAGCAGTGAAAAAAAACTGTCTCATATATTACTGGAAAACTTTATGAATAGTTTATATAGTTAATAGTTTATAGTTTACTCTATAGCAGAGTAAAATTGCCCCATTGGGTTTCTAAGGCTATAAATCTGTACAGAAGCAGACTGTCTCATCTTTCTCTGACAGAGCAGCTGGTGGGTTTGAATTGCTGGCTTTTGGTTAGCAGCCAAGTGCTTAAACACCACACCAATCATGTTATACCCCACCTCCAACAATTCTAAGAGATTTCTGTAGGATACAGAATAATAGTCCATGCTCATTAGCCCATCACTCAAGATGCTCTTCAATATGGCATCAATCTACCTTCCCACATCATTTTCCACTATTCTCCATTAGTTCAACGTGGGGTTATCATTCATTTCAGACAAAGAGAATTAACTGCTACTTTTTATACCTGTTCTGTAATTTCTTACTCACTTTATTGTCTATAATTAGTTAAAATAATTTTCCCCTTAGGCACTCATCTAATTATTCAAGGTGCAGTTTAAATGTTTCCTCTTGCATGATGCCATTTCTGACTTCCCCAACTAAATGTAAACTCTTCCTCTACTAAACACCACAGCACCTTGTAAATTTATCATATAATACCTCACATTTTATAATATGGCTATATATTTACCAAACTTACCTCTTTTACAAGGTTTCCCAAGAGGGAAATATCCATAAGGGAAAAGTTCCTGAAGAGAAAATATCCTTCAGGAAAAATATCTGTAGAGTCCCATACTTGTTCATAAGCACTCATATCATATATATGTTGAATGCTTAAGAAAATGAACATGCATATTATTGTGATAAAGTGGTAAAACTGTCAATAAAATAGTACAAAGATAGCATACTTAGTAGTTAACACAGTCAGCTATTTTGAATAGACTAAATTTAAAGAACTGGTACTAAAATCTAAGTAGGTTTCAAAACTATATTAGTTTATCAATATCAATAGCAAAAGAAAAATAATCTGATCCATATGTTCTCATATAACACAAAATTTAAAAAATAGGACATATTATTTATTCTACATAATACTTGCAATTTTGTTTGCTAACTGAAAAAAGGGAGCTCTGATAGCGTAGTGCCTAAGGCACTTGACTGCTAACCAGAAGGCTGGTGGTTCAAACCCACTAGCCACTCCTCAGAAGGAAGATGGGGCAAACTACTTCTATAGTGATACTGCCTTGGAAACCCAAGGAGGGGTCACTGTGAGTCGGGTCCGACTCGACAGCACGTAACAACAACAACTGAAAAAAGCTAAGAAAATGGTTGTTGATAGCATATTGAAATCATTTTTTTAAAAAATTCTTCCTTACTTCGAATAAGCTTTGGAAATCTTTTTTTTAGTTTCTTCCTTAGTGGATTAAGTTCAGGCATTATTTCTGGAACAGCTACATAAAAGTCTGCATGAATTTCATCAGCCAAAATCTGAAAATCAAGGAAAAAAACAATTATCTTCAGATAATATGAAAAGCATTATCCTTTTGTAAATTAAAACTTTAAGTTTAATATAGTAATTACTCTTATAATTCAGTAAAAAGACATTATGGGTCATATGAGTACATTTACCAGTTACGAAAACCATCAAAAGCCAAACATTTTCTGATTTTCCATTAAAAATGGGCACATTCATTTTTTAAGAAGACACTTTAATAAACTGAATTCTTCCATGCAGTTAGGTTAGGCAAAAGTGTTATAAACTTGAACAACACAGCACTGATATATACATAGCTTACACAATCCAGCACAGTTTAACTCACATGTTCATCAAAAACTGTAGAAACAAATTGAAATTTTACAATAGATCACATGTAAAATTAATACCAACTGCTTACCAAATTCACTTAGCAACCCCATTGTATTCTTAAACTTAGAGCATTAAGAGACCTGAATCTATAATTATTTTCACAAAGAACTGAAACTAAAATTCTCTTTGTAGCCAATAACTAAAAATAAAAACAGGGAGGTAGTCAAAGGCAGGTTCACTTATAGTTTATTATCAAGACCCTAATTCTACATTAAAAGCAAAGAGGATAATACTCACTTTAAAACGGACATTTCTAATTAACTCAGGTAAGTATCCAACATAATTATCATTCTACAACAAAATATTAAATTAAAATTTTTTGTTGATTATAAATGAAGCAACTCTTTAGAACAATACTGCTTGGGCAAGAAATATTTCACCATTTTATTTATTTACCTATCTATGTATTTATTTATTTATCTCTCTCTCTCTCTCTCTCTCTATCTATCTATTGATTGATTGATTGATTGACTGACATGAAATCTTACAACATGCCATTCAAAATGTTGGTATGGAGCTACAGACTAAACCCTAAAAATCTGAACTGAACCAAAATTAAGCAATGATTCTGGAATCATATCTTCCTGTTACTATTCTTTCTTTTTAGAAATGCTTTACTTTCTAAATAACATACTATGTTCCTTCCCTTAACAATAATAACTAACACTGGATGATCACTTATCATGTGCTATGTACCCTGCTAAATATTTTACATGGTGATTCATTTAGTCTTCACAATAACCCTTTGAAGCAAGTACTAATATTGACAACACTTTCCAGAAAAGGGAAGACTCAAGGAGGATGAGTCATGTGTGCACTCATAAAAGACAGAGTAGGAATTTAAGCACAGGTAGTGTTGTTCTAGAACCAGGGCTCTCATCTCTGGAAATATAAAAGAAGAGGCAAGTTTGAAATGTCGAAGAAGTATATGCAGCATTTCTATTCTAAGACCTTCCCATACTGATTCTATGACATGCTCTTTGAAATTTAAAATTCTATTTTGGAATGTTATGCTTTAGTTACCCACAAGATGACTAAACATGTCTTAAAATTATACAAAACTGTGGATGGAAATCATGTGTTAGCAACAACTAAAAACACTGTTCAAAAATTCCTCAGAATCAAGCATATCATTGGCCTCTCCCCATCCAGAGGAAAGAAGAGTGAAGAAAATCAGACTAAGACAATCAATTAGTCCAAAGGACTAGTTGGCCACATGAACCACAATCTCTATTACCCTGAGACCAGAAAAACTAGATGGTGCCGATGGTGCCTGACTACCACTACAAACCGCTCTGATCAGGACCATAGAGGTCCTAGACAGAATGGGAGGAAAATGTAGAAAAAAATTCAAAATAATAACAATAATAAAAAGACCAGACTTACTGGTCTGATAGAGACTGTGGGAATCCCTGAGACTGTGACCCTTAGACATCCTTCAAACCTGGAACTTAACCCAGGGATCACTTTGCAGTCAAGCACAGACTATATAAAGTGAACAGTAATACTCATGAGGAATGCACTCCTCGGATTAGTCAACCATACAAGATCAAATGAGCAGTATTTGCCCAAAACCAAACTCAGAAAGCAGGAAGGGGCAGGAACAAAGCACAAATGGAAATGGGGAATCCAGGGAGGAAGTAGTTGCCAGCCTCTACCACCACACAAGTAATTTCCTGAAATAAACCTCTTGTCATAACACACACACACACACACACACACAAGCTTCACTGGTTTCCCTTCTCCAATACTGTCACCATATTTTTTATTTCTTCCTATCCACTTCCACTTTTTATTTTCCATATCAGTCAGGACCCACAAATCCTATCCAGCCATACCCACAACACCTGCCACCTCTCCTACAGGCAAGTGCCACCACCCACTCCAGCACGACTGGATTGACAACAGACAGTGGCCGAAACCCACAAAGACTGCACTCAGCTATTCTACATGACCAGCAATCAGACTCCCACCCACACTTCCAATAGCTACCAAATCCACCCAGAGACAGGCAATGAGTTCCCCAATGCTGATAAATTACTAATCAGAGTAGCATGTCCAACAAGTTACCTGGATATATTAAAAGTTAACAAAAACTCCAAAGGAAGCAAAACAACATACAGCAAACAAATTAATATAATAACATCACAATGTCTTAGGGAAAACAGACATGTTAAATCAGCCTCAAAAAACAGGCCAAGATGGCTCAAAAAAGTGACCAAACTACAGGGCCAGAAAATCTTCTAGAGGAAGAAATGCTACTGGAACTATCTGATAAGAATTCAAAACAATGTACCTAGGTCACTTCAGCAAAAGAGATCAAGGAAAGGGCAATGTACCAAATGTGAGTGATCAACACAGTGATACTGAGGAAGTAGAAGACATAGAGAGGTACGTGGTAGGTACAGACAACAAACATGAACCTTTTTGCACACACAGTACTGCAGTCAGTGAAGGCAAACATGAATATACAGGTGGATAGATGGTGGACAGGCTGAACTATTAGGTATGTCTATGCAGGGGGGAATGTGCCCAAGACCATGTATAGGGCTGGCGGACAATGTTTCTATAAGTGTACTGGTATGTTTTGTAAGAATTCCCAGGTGTATAGTAGAGCTGACAAGGGACAAGCTTGTAGTTACTTTTTGGGCACAGCCAGCTACCCAGAAGGAGCAAGTAGTTGAACCTGTGGGCTTTGGACCATAGTAGCAGGGGACATCAAGCTCAATTGGCATAACACACTACACAAAACACTGTTCCACCTCCAACTTTGGCAAGTAGTGACTGGTATCTTACAAGCTTGCAAGCAGTCATCTAGATGCAACAATAGGTCTCTCCTTGTCCAGAGCAAAGAAGAATTAAGAAAAACAAAGATTCAGGGAAACAATTAGTCCAAACGACTGGTACACCATGTGATTCTCAGCCTATATGACTATGACACCAGAAGAACTAGATAGTGCCCAGCTACCACTGCCAACCACTCGGAGGGGCATCTATGTAGGAGATGCTGGATAGAATAGGAGAACAATGTGGAACAAAACTCAAAATCATTTGAAACAAAAAGAGGGACCAGGTTTACTGGTCTGATAGAGCCTAGTGGAACTATTCAGATTATGGCCCCTAGCTGCCCTTCAGGTCTGAAATTGAACCCACACCTGTGGCTTCCAGCCAAATAAAAGACAGGCATATGAGGTGAACATTTACACTAAGTAGATACACTCCTTGGAGAGAACAATCATGGGAGAATAGAAGGGCTGTGTATGCACAAGGACATAGCTCAGGGGACAGGAATGCACGGAAGGAAGGACACAGAAGAGGTAACCATGGGGAGGAAGTGGGAAGGGCGCTGTTGAATTGTGGTAAATTGTAGTCAATGTCATGGATAAAATGTATGTGAACTGCTACATGGAAAGTGAATTTGCTCTGTAATCTTTCACCCAAATCACAATAAAATTTTTTTAAAAAAAAAAAAAAGCTCCGAGGTAGTATAGCAAATAAGACAGGAAATAGAAAAATTCCTTGAATCAAACAAGAATGAAAACACTACATATCAAAATCAGTAGGACACAACAAAAGCAATGTAAAAAGGCAACTTACAGTAATAAATGTCCAAATCAAAAATGAAGAACCAAACTCAACACCTTAACCTAACATCTCCAACAATAAGAAAAAGAACAGTAAAAACAGAAGCCTACAGTCAACAGAAGGAGCTCTGGTAGCATAGTGCTTAAGGTATTTGACTGCTAACCAGAAGGTTGGTGGTTCAAATCCACCAGCCACTCCTCGGAAGGAAGGTTGGGCAATCTACTTCCGTAGTGATACTGCCTTGGAAACCCAAGGAGGGGTCGCTATGAGTCGGGGCCGACTCTACGGCACATAACAACAACAACACAGTCAACAGAAGAAAGCAGCAGTAACAAATGAAACAGAAAATAGAATAACCACAGAAGAAATCAGTATGACTAGAAGTTGATTTGTAGAAAGGATTAATGAAATTGACAAATCACTGGCATATTTAACAAAGGAAAAGAAGGACAAGATGAAAATACACTAATAAAATTGAAATACATGTCACAACAGAACCAACTGAAATAAAAATGATAGTAACAGAATACTATGAAGAATTTTATTCTAACAAATTTGAAAACCTAGAAGAAATGGACATATTTATAGAAACACACTACCTACTAAAACTAACACAATCTGAGGAAGAAAATTTTAACAGACTCATCACAAAAGAAGAAACCTATGACCTCATGAGGTCATAAAAAAACTCCCAACAAAAAAAGTCCTAGCCCAAACACTCAGAGAAGAACTGACAGCAATTCTACTCAAACTATTCAGACTACAGAAAAGAATGGAATACTCCTGAACTCAATATATGAAGCAAACATAACAATGATACTAAAGCCAGGCAAAGATACCACTATAAAAGCACATTATAGTCCAATATCCCTCATGAACACAGATGCAAAAATTGTCAACAAAATCCAACCCAACAGAATCTCACAACATATAAAAAAAAAATAATACATCATGACCAAGTGGGATTCACACCAAGTATTCAAGGATGGTTTAACATCAGAAAAACAATAAATGTTATCCACCATATAAATAAAAC